GTACGGAAGTTATACCAAACTGATGAGGATCACAACTTTGACAAAACCTTTTTGTTTTAATGCAATAATACTTCTGAGAATTTAGAGCTTACTTTAATGGAATTGTACTATAATACATCCGAATGACAAGTCCAAGAAGTTTCAATACTGAAGAAATATGTAACAAAGGAAACAGATCTCTGTCGACAGCAAATTGACTCAATAAACTGCATTTGTTATCAACACAAAAAACTGATTTGTAAAACAAATAATTGTAAGAAATGAGAAATTTGATGAACTGGTTACAATTGAAACAAAGAGAGAGTCAAAAATTTATAAATTAACAGTAAATTGTCACAAAACAAAAAATCTTTTGCTGGAAAAATCCTCACTTGTTTACTTTGTAGTAAATGTTCAAGAGGTAGCGAAAACTTATGTGAATTTCTGGAACTTCATCTAGCTTTTCCTAATATGACTAATAACCAGTCCGTTTGTGTATAATTTAATGAATTGTGAATTTTTTCGCCATTGAATAACATTACAAATCATACTTAGTTAAAATGAGTGATAAAAAATAAATCAAACATATAAATATGACATTTTCCAAAACGTATCTCTCATAAAAATATATACTTTCAATTTAAATGGCTGCGATTGAAACAAATAAGCGAATGAATGTCATTACGTACTGTCATCAATGACATGAGTAGATTTAACTCATTCGTGACATGGAGTCATAATTTCATGAATGGAGTGCTTCATTTTGTGATACTGAAGAGGCGATAAGGCAAGCGTCTTATTCCGAAACGTCGATGTCCGGCATTAGGTGTGAAGTGTTCCGTGTAAGTGAAATTTTACCTCTTTCATATATAGTTGACACGCGATAATCCAACACGCTCGGTAGTCCAACGGTAGTCTTTTGTAAAAACTAAAGCCTGACCTCATTACATATTATGAATCTTTTCTAGTCAAATATTTGGTACATAAAAATTCATCGTTAACTAGATTTCCAAACTTATACACTGCAAATTCAAGTAAAAAGAGCCAATCTTTGGTAATCCGACACCCCTGCGGTCCCGTAGTGTCAGACTATGGCGAGTCAACTGTACAATATTGTGTAGCAATCCTGTGAATTATATCTGATTCAACTCCATAACGAATGTTTGGAGTACTAACTGAATAGGAAAAACATTTTTTTTTTATATAATTCAATGTTCATATCAAAGTAGTTGTTTCGAAAATATTTTTTCTGTCCTGTAATTCAATGTTTATATGAAAGTAGTTGTTTCAAGAGGGCTTTTTCATCCAGTTTGTGTCTGAAAGTAATTCATTTGCATAATCTGCACACCTTTGTTAAAAACAATTGTTTCAAAATTCATTGTTTCCATTGCAAGATTCCAACATTTCTTTTATGAAGATGGGGAAGTAGAAAGCCAAAACCAAAAATTAATCTTTCCTAAAAATATACCCCTGCCAATTCATATCTGTATTGTTGGTTTCTGACATCAAACTGTAATAATGTATGTCGTTGGCAATATTGAATTGTTATATTGGCAACAATGTACGCTTCCTGTTTTTTTTTAAATAAAGTGTAGTCTAGATCCAACAGCAAACAAGTGTGGTTGTTTTATTCCCATTTCCCTCTCTGCTCAACATGTATTGTTTTGCATTCAGTTTGTACTGTTTATATTTTCCATAATTAGATTCAAGATTTTTGTGTTTTCTAAATCTGTGTATTGTATTTCAATTTATAGTCAGTCTTTTGAATTATTGTTTTCCCCCTACTATAAACATTGTATTGTTTCTTGGAAAAATAAATTGTTATTATTGTCATTATTTGACAAATCTCTAAATTTGAATGAGGTATCAAGCCATACTTGTAGTGCCCAACCTTATTTTTGGTAATTTTTTGTCGTGAATATATAATTTACTTATATGTATTCATGCCTGTATTTTTAGTTGTGAACATGTTCAGTATTTTTCGTCAATGAGATAATATCTTCAGACTTTGAAGTTCATTTTGATATACAACCACTCAAAGAAAGAAACCTTCATTGTGGCTATTTGTATACGAGATACTATGCTAAAAATAACATAATAATTTGTTATTGAATATATTTTCTAACATTACATTTTATTTCCGTTTTGTAAATTATAACAGTTTCAACATTTTACTTATTATGAATAACCCCAGTTTGATAGTTTATTTTCTTTTCCTACTTCACCATGTTCATATCACAATAATTCATTTCTTTACAAATTAGTTTTTAGTTCTTCGTTTCATACAATTAAATTCAAATTTTCAATTCCACCGAATCCGAAAAATGCCGTCCTGTAATTTTCTATTTTATATATTAGTCCTTCCAGATTTCGAATGTGATAATATTTCAGACGAAACCCAAACCTCTATCCTTGAATTTTGTAATCGTTTTTCTTACTCAACGAACTCATTCTTATCAGTCCAACTTTTCAGGGCAAAATCAGTAATNAAAGATTGACCAAAACCCATACGTCGACGAAACTCAAGATCTGCCGAAAACATCGCCGTTGTCTGTGAGAGTATGCAGGATAATCCGTGACAGTCGATTTCGCGTCGCTCACAAGAATTCGGCCATTAGCAGTCCACAACTTGGCGAATACTGCGTCGTTTTATATTGTAGATATGAAACGAACCTACATACAAAATTTCAGCCTCCAAAAATTTAGCAGTACGAAGAAAATGATGAAAAGGTAATGTTCATATGTGAACACTCCCTTGTTACCCCTACAGGCAAGGGGCGCCACCCCAGTTGGAATATATGAAAACCCTTTTTTAGTGCACATCTAAGACTAAGGCGGGTTGGCTGTCCTTGTTCATCTTTCACTGCCTGAACCACTGTGCATGCTGTTTTTGGCGAGTGCATTGGCTTGGTGTGGGGGTTGAGCAAACCGGTCATCGAATGCCTGCTCCCACGTAGCCCCGCTGGATACGTGAATGACAGAATCAATTGTGGTTCGGTTATTCCCTAACTGAATGACATCCCAACGATGGGTTAATCCTAAGGTGTGTGTATCCGTGCCGAGAGGATGAATGACACTGAGGCTATCAGCTGACTCTACGGAACCTTCGAGATACTGGGCACCCTATCATTGTACCTTCGCCTTGTCACGGTAATGCTAGCTACTCATGGGTCTATGAAACCGCCTTGCACCAAATTCTTGAGCGGCGTACGCAGAATCTGTCTCAGGTGGAGGAACAAACCCCCCACGAGCAGGTTAGCAAACGTTTGCGCTCAGGTGATGATTCACCAAAATCAGAGGCGAAAAAGCCCTACAAGCTTGAATCTAAGGCATCGTCAGCTGTAGCTGACGTACAAAAGCCCTTATATGGGAAGTTTGTCGCGGGTATCAAATAGGGAATCTTGCACCTTGACTATCCGTCTACCTCTTTAACGATGAAACAGCAGAGCATATATTTTGTGCCTGCTCCGTGTGCCTGTCCCGCTGGGTACGGACAAAAAATTAATATTCAGCCAGTCCAGCTAGCCGAGCCTTTATTCCTCAACTACATTTGATAGCACGTTTACTAACTATCTGGGCGACTAAGGGAAACAGGCAAGAAATGTTTATGACTGTACCAGGGACGCTTTGAACATAAAAGCACTGGTAGTAAGTCCAGGGACACCCTGTATACATTTTCCATTTACCGGGCAGTGATTATGAACACCCCTCGTAGTGCTCTTATTTTTTTTGCCGTTCCAATTGGGAATGGATAGACTATACCACATTTGTCTATTATAGATTGTACAATAGAATCTCACTAATCCGGCACTTCAATAGACCGATACGTCTAATAATCCGGCACCCTCCCCCCGCGTCTCCAACGCCCCTCTACGCCTTTGCGCTCCGTTGCCGAGTCGTCTAGCAGTCTAACCTCAAACAATGGTGTCACAGCTACCCCATACGGGGTAGTTCTACACCTCATGAACTTAATTTCACCCTCTCGCTCCCCTCAAGTAAATATACCCCACTACAGATATAAAGCAAAAAAATGTAAAATAAAAATTGAAGAAATTAACAAATATTTGAGGTTTGATTTTGAATTTACCGCGATACTCGAACCGAGTACCCTTTAGATGGAGTATGTATCAATCTTTGATCCAAAAACAGCTGTGTCTGGAGAAATAGGAAGTACTGTAAATGATACTACCACTTTCTTTCTAAATCTTGAGACAGATATTGAAAAGCTCAATTTCGAATGGCGTTTGCTTGCTGATATGGACCATTTCAAGCAAATTGATTTGAATTCCTTTGAAGAATTCTGGAAAAATATTTTTAAGGCTGAAAATGGCACCTGTGACCCATTATTTCCAATGTTTACATTCTAGTGGAAGAAATCCTATCATTACCTAATGCTTCTGATGCAGCAGAACGAGTTTTTCTCAATTATTTCTATTAAAATCCAAAATTCGCAACAGGTTAGATGTTGATACTTGTAGTGTTTTACAAGTAAAAGAATTACTCAATAATGATACTTGCTTTACATGGACTCCATCTGCGGATTTATTAAAGAGAAAGTTAAGTGAATACTTTCATATTATTTGTTTGAAAGTGATTGACAATGTTTCATGATGAATTTTACTAGTTTGGACTTCCATTGTCTACTAATATAAAATGATTTGAAATCCCTGAAATAACTAAAAGAGAATAATTAAAAACGAATAGCTGAAAATAACAATTATATTAAGCAAAATAAACCTGAAATGAAATAATAGTGAAATAATGATGAAAAAATAGCTTGCGGCAACACTGACCTCAAAACTTATCACGTGCACGTGCGTACTATTTACCTGTTGTTTTAATGTGAAAATAATGTGTTGTTAGAAATGTCAAGTAAATGGAAACATAAATTTATTATGATTTTTTTCTCTATATTCCAGTAATCAGAACATTCTAATAATCCGGAACCCACTGGTTTTTAATAGTGCCGGATTAGTGAGATTCTCCTGTATAACAATTATTTCTCAGATGTTACCTTACCATTCCACACAAATGACTAATGAGCAATATCACAGCAATGCCTCTTAATCCATCACTATGAATTTATGTACTGACTGAATATGTTTAGGATTATCAGTAATGTCTAAGAGACATTTTCTTCTTTTAGCATCTTCTCGAAGGTCATACAGTGGTTTACAATTCTGAAAATTAAAACAAAAGCAACTTAAGATTACTAAATTCATAGACTTATATTTAAAATTAGTTTCGGGATGCATTTTAAATTCAATGTCAACACTTCCCCCCCCCCTTTTATTTTTGAACGGGTCAACTCAAAAAATTAAAATGCAGGATAATGAAATTATTGCATGAATACTTTATTTTGAAGTGAAATTGACAGATGGCGACTGGGCGCCATTTTGGGAGTTTCATGACATTTAACTACATAATATGAAGTAATAAGCTTGAGGTCAGTTCAGAAGATGCTCGAAAAGGTTGCCTTGAACTTCTTGACATATGAACAGCCTATCCGATATTTCACACCGAACATTTTCCAACACAAATGTTTCTATTTCTACAAATATTTATTATTTTCTGGCGTATATGGTACAAAACTGAAGCAGGATCTGTTCAAATACAGTTCCCCTGTTAAATTTTGATCAATAAATAGAGGTCCTACAATATGGTTTCCGAATATTCTTGCCAAAATGTTAATTTTTTCTTGATATTGGGTATGTTTCCCGGAAAACGTGAGGGTTGGTATCACTCCAATAACGGCAATTTTGTCTGTGAACATTGCCGTTTAAAAAAAGGACATTCGTCACTAAAACAAATATTGTGGAAATAGGTAGGATGCCTTGCAATGGTTTCCGTCATGATTTGGCAGAATTCTGTTCTTCGATCAGGGTCATCTTCAGTTACTTGGTGTATCATTTTAATTTTGTATGGATGATACCTATTCCTCTTCAAAAGTCTCCTCACAAACATTTGCGACGGAATAAGTAGACTTATTCTAAGTAGACTGTTCAGGATATACTCTATCACACCAATTATTTGCACATGTTGTTCTACCGGAATGGACGGATAACCTGGGGGCTTTTTGTTATGTACACTACGGGTAGTTGTGAATTTGGATACAAGATGATATATCATGTCCCTATACCTAAATCGTCAAGTTTTCTCAATAAAGTCGCTTCTTCTAGAAACATTTTTTTTAGAATTTGGATTTAGGTAGCAGTGGAATTATCAAGCTTATAGCAGTTCGGTTACTTTTATAAGTAATTTACAAAGAGTTATCGACGGTGTTTCGAATCATCTTCCAAAATGAATGCAAATATCGATTATTCAAACGAAGTTCTTATGAAATTATTTATTATACACATGAACAAAGTGATCAAATCATTGTCAGAACGTGTAAAAAATTCAACCAAATGT